AGCACACAAAGGAGCGCACTGTTAGCAGCCATCGGCTGCTCATTCTGGACGGCCATGAGAGCCACAACTCAGTCAAGTTCCACCAGTACTGTGAGGAACACAAGATCATCACTCTGTGTATGCCTCCTCACTCGTCGCACCTATTGCAGCCACTTGACGTGGGTTGTTTTGCCCCAATAAAGAAGGCCTATAGTCGCCAAGCTGAGCTGCTGATGCGCAACAAGATTACTCGCATCACAAAACTTGAGTTCTTACCATGCTTTAAAGGAGCTTTTGATGCCTCTATTACTAGGAGCAATATCCAGGGAGGATTCAGAGGTGCTAGCTTGGTCCCCTTTAATCCAGAGGCTGTAATATCAAAGCTTGAAGTGCGCCTGTGTACTCCACCACTACCTACTATGGATAAGAGTACGTGGCACTCTTAAACCCCACAGAACACCCTGGAATTTAGGTCGCAATCAAAGCTAATTCAAGAGAGGATCCAGCGACATGGGGATAGCTCACCAACTTTAATGGTTGATGCCCTTAATTAGCTCACCAAAGGCGCAGAGATGATGGCGCATTCACTAGTTTTAGTGCGCAACCAGGTCGCAGAGCTTCAAGCTGCCAATGAGGCCGCCACACGCTGTAAATTACACAAGAGGAAGCGGATCTAAAAGGAGGGGGCTCTCACTGTTAGTGAAGGTGTGCGCTTGACTACCCTAAAGGAGTTTGAAGCCCGTGGCGATGGGAAGAAGGCAAGCAAGAGGAGGCGCGTTCAACCAAGTACACAGTCTTCACGACGCTGTAGCAAGTGTGGTAAGACAGGGCACAACGCGCGAACGTGCAAGAATAACGTGTAAGGTATTTCTAAATAATTTAGTGTACTATAGCCTGCAGTAGGACCTAAGTTGCTACTATAGTGTTGTAAGTTGTGTGAAGTTGGGTGTGGTCTTGGCAAAAGTGAGCGGCTCGCTTGGGTGAGCGGCTCGCTTGTGGAGTACGTTAGTTGTAGTTGTAGTAACTTGTGTTAGTTGTGCTAAGAGAAAATGGCCGGTTCAGTGATATGGCTGGCTTGGTGATAATCTACGTTAAAGAATTGTGGTAGTAGTGCTGTGCGTAGTTAGCGGGTGCCTTACAGGTTGCCCTTACCACCACTACCTACCACAGCATCTACTGGCCGCACCACGCGTCCCCCTAGAAAACTATGGTAGCTAAAAGTTTCGCAATAGTCTATTTAGTAATCTACTAAATTATCTTGTAATAGCAGCGTCGTGGTGTTGCTCAATAATCTCACTTGTTTCAGGGTACAAAAAGTGATGTTGGTGCATCACGCGCCGCGGTGCACAACGAGGCCGTGCACGTTAGTAGTTGTTTTAGTGTGCATTATTATTTTGTCTTTTCTTGTAGTTATTGCTCTTCCTAAAGGTGTCGAGCCTTAGCATAATGGCAATGTCTGCTAGGTACGCTGCTGTGCTTTTAGTGTTTGTTTCTAATGTTCCTGCAAGTGCGGAGCATTCATTGCGGACTGCTGCGCTGATGGGAGATGGATCAGTCTAGCAGAGTACAGAACCTAGCGATAGACACAACTGAAGCAAACCATGCAAATGCTAGGAGCGGCCTGAGTAAGGTCAAATCTGTCTAAAGAGAAGATGTCGCGAAAAGTGGACAAAACAATGGCTCACGGCACACAGCTCGCAGCATACGACTTGCAGCGCACGACTGCT